GGAGGGGAGGGAAGAAGGAAGGAAAAAAAAGGAGGAATGAAATGAAGGAAGGAAAGAAGGGGAGGAAGGGAGAGTAAGTGAAAGGAAGGAAGGGAGGGGGAGGGAAGGAAGGAAGGAAGGAAGGAAGGAAGGAAGGAAGGAAGGAAGGAAGGAAGGAAGGAAGGAAGGGAGGGGATAGAGGAAGGAAGAAAAGGGAGGGAATGGATGGAGGAAGGAAGGAAGAAAAAGGGAGGGATGGAATGGATGGAGGAAGGAAGAGAGAGAGGGAGGAAAAGAGGTAGAGAGGGAGGGGGAGAGAGAGGGAGGGAGATAGAGGGGGGGAGGAAGGGAAAGAGGGAGGGGGAGGGAGAGAGAGAGGGGGGTAGGGAAAGGGGAAGAGAGAGGGAGGGAGGGGGAAGGAGGGAGAGAGAGAGGGAGGGAAGATGTAGAAAGAGAGAGGGAGGAGGGAAGGGGGGGGAGGAGGGGAGAGAGAGAGAGAGAGAGAAGAGGACGGAGAGAGAAAGAGAGAGAGGGATGACATAATGAAAGGAGGGGATGAAGGAAGGAAGAAAAAGGAGGGAGGGTGGGAGAAAGGGAGGAAGTAATGAATGGGAGAGAGAGGGGGAGGGAGAGAGAGAAAGAGGGAGGGAGGGGGAGATAGAGGGGGAGGGAGGTACAGAGAGGGAGAGGGAAAGGGGGGGAGAGAGGGGGAGAGAGGGAGGGAGGGAGATAGAAAGGGGGAGGGGGGAGGGAGGAGAAAGAGGGTGAGGGAGGGGTTGGTAGAGAGCGAGAGAGAGAGGGGAGGGAGAGGGAAAGGGGGAGAGAGAGGGGGGAGAGTGTACATTCAGAAGCATCACAGAGCTGTCGGCTGATCTGGACAGGGGAGGCAGAGCAGATCCTTTTTCCTCTGTTCTGCCGTGGAGGATGGGGGGAGGGGCTGGACAGTGTCAGAGAAGACTAGTCATCAGAGACCTGCGGGGGGGGATGAGGAGCACAGAGGGGGGGGGGGGGGTCCCAGGATGGAAATCTGCATCGGCACAGTCAGGGATGACCGGTGCAGTGGAGGGACAGTGACAGCACCGATCTCCCTGCATGGATTTCAACAAGGCAGCTGGAAGCCTCCCCTCCCGTCACCCGACTCACTCTGCCACCACGTGAAGTGAGCTACTTCTGGGTTGGGATTTGAGACTGCCTCCTCCTCCGCTCCCCACACTGTCACTGGACAGTGATCCTCTCACAGGCCCTCTACTGACCCGGGCCCTCGGGCAATGCCCGAATGGTCAGTCCGCCCCCTGCTGAGGAGAGTGTTGGAGTCTAGGAGGGGTCCCCTAGGTCTGAGGGGAAGCCAGCCTCTAGGCTGGACTCAGGCTGGCTCAGGAGGATACATTCTGTGGAGAGGTGCAGATGGGATCAGGCCTGGAGAAGCAGAGAGCAAAGACTGAGTACAGCAGCACACTTTGGAATCTGCAAAGGGAAAGACTGCCACACGTAGCAAACTTTCTAAGGACAGCATTGAGCTAAATCCTTTTATACTTGATTCGGGAGATCTTCCAAGAAGCAAGGAGGGATGGCAGCGTCTGCAGGCCAGAGAGCTGTGAGCAGCTCCATAGGGGAAGAGAAGACATTTCTGCATGTAGCTACAGAAAGTAAAGTGATTTTTGAAGGGCTGCTAGTTCCTCACCCATATGGGGCAGCTGCTACTGATTGACAATGACTGATGGCTTTCAGGAAAAGAATAGTCCAGGATCTGCTTTGTACATAGGAAGGAAGTGTCCCCCTTCCATTATTTCAAGTCAAATTGGGCATCCCATTATCCCTATTTCCCTATCCAAGTTGAATTCCCCTACATAAAATAACAGAAACAAAGTTCATGGACTGGTCAGTCTCTGGATGCCTGGCTGAGTGGAGGGAAGCTTAGGGATACCCACAGTACAGCAGTCCTATCAGCACCTGTGGTAGTGAGCTCTATGGATCCTCAACTTGGGGGTTCCCCAGGGTGCGGAGTCTAAGCCCCAGCCTGCTTGTTCACCAGAGCCCCTGATGGTGGGGATGGACTTGCAGCAAGCAGGTAAGAACACAAACGAAACTGCAGGCTAACTTGAGACAGTACCCCCCTCTTACGAGGTCTCCCCACTGTTTTAGGGCCAGGCTTAAGGGGAAACTTCTGATGAAAAAATTCCACCATATGGGGTGCAGAAACATCAGAGGAAAGAATCCAACACCTCTCCTCAGGACCATATCCCTTCCAGTCAATTAGATACAAGAGCTTCCCTCAAATTAACTTAGAATCCAAGATTTGCTTGACTTCATACTGATCCGAAGTACTCGCTATTGGGGAAGGATGACGATGGGAAAATCTGTTGATGATATACGGTCTCAGAAGAGAAACATGGAAAACATTTGGGATTCTCAAATGTGAAGGGAGGCAAAGTTTAAAAGCGACAGGATTGACCTGGCGAAGGATGGTAAAGTAACCAATGAACCGAGGAGCAAATTTCATAGAGGGTACCCGTAGATGGATATTCTTGGTAGAGAGCCAAACCTTGTCACCAGGGAGAAATTTGGGACTCACGCGGTGATGGCAATCTGCAGCTGTTTTGTACTTGGTAGCTGCCGGATGTAAATTCTTGGAAACCTCTGCCCAGATGGAACTGAATGATAGTTGTTTGTCTGCAGGGTACCGTAGAGGAGATAGGAACAGGAAATGGCACTGATGACCATACACCTTGAAAAAAAGGGGGACTCACCAGTACTGGCACTGGCATGGTTATTAAGGGCAAACTCTGCCCATGGTTAGAAGGTCTACCCAATCATCCTGAGGGGCCGAAATGAAGGCACGAATATAGCGTTGCATGGTGTGGTTGACACTTTTGGTTTGGCCATTAGACTGCGGATGAAAGGCTGAGGAGAAGTACAACTCAACTCCGAAGGATGTGGCTAGAGCCCTCCAGAAGCGAGCTGTAAATTGAACACCTCTATCAGAAACAACAATGTGTGAAGGCATACCGGGGAAAATGGAAGATTTCATTAATGAAGTTGGAGGCCAACGTGACGGCCGAAGAAAGTCCCGGAAGTGGAGTTAGGTGGCACATGTTTGAAAACCTGTCTACAACCACCCATATAACAGTGGAATCAGCTGAAGGGGGTAGTTCAGAAATGAAGTCCATGGAAATGCAACGCCAAGGTTCATCTGGAACAGGTAGAGGTAAAAGGAGACCTGCTGGAGCAGACGTGGAGGACTTAGACTGCACACAAATGGAGCAAGCCTGGACATATTTTTCAACATCCTTCCGCAGTGAGGGCCACCAGTAATGACGCTGCAGGAAGGCACAGGTGCGTTGCACCCCAGGATGTCCAGAAAGTTTAGAGTCGTGTGCCCATTTGAGTAGCTTGGAACGAAGGGTGGAAATCATAAAGGTCTTTCCGGGTGGGATGCATTTAGGCTGAAGATGAGTGGTGGCAAGGATACGATTGGCAGAAATGATAGGCTCCGTTTCAATATGACACTCAGGCCCTGATTTACTAAGAATTGAGTCTACCAGCAGATGCTGAACATTTAGGCAGACTCAATTCAAACACTCTAGACTTGTCAGCCTGAAAGGCGTCTAGCAAATTCATTGAAAAGCGTCTGCTTCGTAGACTCTTTCCTGTTAGTAAATGCGGAATCGCATCTGGCACATTTTTAGGTGCAATACCGGATATGCTCGCTAGGTGGCGCACAACTGCGGGCTTTGTCCCGTTGGCGTTTTTATGTTTGCATATGAGAATACTTATAATTTAACGTAAAAAGTACACCTATATTTTTTTTTTTTTTTTTTTTTTTTGGGTTGCTGTTTCTCCAAAATGATCAGACAACTATTGCATTTCCTAATGAATGTCATACATTCTATTTTCAAATGTCAAACATTTTCACACTTATATCTCAAATAATTGGGAATGTCTAGTTCTAAGTTCCCAATATAATTATATATCTTCATTATCTGTATACTAGTGTCTAGCTGTGAATGGTCACAGCTAATCACAGGCACATGTCATGTGATTAGCTGTGGCCAAATCACAGCTAAGCACAAAAAAAAAAAAAAATCCTGAATGAATCGATGTCATTCAGGTAAATGCTTGCTTAAAGCAAAGTAATCCTTTGCTAACATTCTGCTAACTTTGTGAGTAGTACTGCTTAGACCTTGAAGAAGGGGACATTCCCCGAAAGCTTGTCCTCAAAATTGTATGTTAGTGCAAATAAAAAAAGTATCACAGACAGTACTCAATTGTTTCTATAACTTTCCTACAAACTAAAAAATACATCCTAATTTAGGTTATTTTCACCAAAGACATGTAGCAGAATACATCTTGGCCTAAATTTATAAAGAACAATTATTTATTTGCAAACTTTTATAACAGAAACAAAGAAAAACGTGTGTTTTTTTCAAAATTTTTGGTCTTTTTTGTTATTTAGCAAAAAATAAAAACCCCAGCGGTGATTAAATACCACCAAAAGAAAGCTTTAGTTGTGTGAAGAAAATGATAAAATTTTAGTTTGGGTACAATGTTGTATGACCGCGCAATAGTCATTCAAAGTGTGAGAGCGCTGAAACCTGAAAACTGGCCTGGGCAGGAAGGTGTAAAATTGCCAGGTATTGAATTGATTAAAGTAATAGTGCAGCGCTATAAATGCATGTTATCAATCATAAACGCATGTAAAATCAAAAAAGTGCAAATAAGTGTGATAATGATGTCAACTGGTAAAATGGTGTTAAAAAAAAGTTCATATACCGTATTTTTTGCTCCATAAGACACACCTGACCATAAGACGCACCTAGGTTTTAGAGGCAGAAAACAGGAAAAAAAAATTCTGAACTAATGGACTGCAGACATAGTACAGGGGATGACCAGAGACTGCAGACAGCACAGGGATGACCAGAGACTGCAGACAGTACAGGAGATGACTGCTGACCTTTGGGGAGGGGGGGGGAGCGGGTACCTGGATTTGACAGGTACCCGCTCTTACTTCCGCGGAGTTGTTCTTTGATCTTACCTGTTCCTCTATCCAGCCGCGCGCTGTCTTCCCGGCTTCTGTAATGTGGGCGCTCGGCATGACAGCTGGGTCCCAGTGCGCATGAGCGAGAAGCACTTGCGCTTTGTGATTGGTCCGGTGGCTTCTGGGATCTGTCATGTGTCCCAGGTACCACCTTACCATTCACAAAAAGCACCGCTTCTTGCGCATGCGCACTTGGCACCCGCTGTCAAGCCCAGCGCCCACACTACAGAAGTCGGGAAGACAGCGCACCGCTGGATAGAGGAACAGGTAAGGTCAAAGAACAACTCCGCGGAAGTAAGAGCGGATACCTGTCAAATTCAGGTACCCGCTCCCCCCCCCCCTCCCCAAAGCTCAGCAGTCATCTCCTTAAGGTCCCGCTGCAGAGCTGAGCGGCCGGCCCGGTATTCTGACACGGCGGCGGGTGGTGGAAATACCGGACCGGGCGCTCCATATTCGCTCCATAAGACGCACTGACATTTTCCCCCCTTTTCTTGGGGGAAAAAAGAGTCTGCACTACTGTCCGTCATGGATAAACCACATGTGCCATTCATAGGCACTCTCTGAGTTGGTACTCTTACACGAAGGACATTCCATTATTCAGGAATGATTATATGAATTTTTTTTAGCACCATTTACCAGTTTCATCATTATTGCACTTATTTGCACTTTGTTGACTTTACATGCTTCTATTCTGGGACTGTTGCCAATACCCTGAGTGCTAGCTGCTACCTTCATATCTATCTATACCTAGATTTATATTTATCTTGTGTAATACCATTTTAGTAGTCTATATAATTTTACCAGTGCTCGCTTTATCATTATTTTTAAACAATATAACTATTCTACATTGCAGCTCAAAATCTGTCTCCTACAGTGGCTTAGTGGTTAGAACTCAGAACTTACAGCACATGGCTTATGGGTTCTAATCCCAGTGATAGCTGCACCTGTCTGCATCTCAGTTTGCATGCTTTCTCTGCATGGGTGTGTTTCTGCCAACACTCCAAAGATATGCTGTTAGGTTAATTGGGCCCAGTATATGTAAAAAACCAGCTATTTAAAAAAAAAAAAAAAAAAAAAACGGTCGTTCAATCGGCCGACGTTACCACCAATGGTAAAAAAAAAATTGCGGCTGATTTTTGTCCCGTCTACGGCCGGCATTTTACTTCTGTCCCTTGCAGAGAGCTCTGCTATTATATTTTACATGAAAAGTATTGCGGTTGCAACAATGTATCCATTTGTATCCATTTCGGATACAGATGGTTTTTATTCTGATATAAATAGATACATTGTTGCAACCGCAAGACTTTTCATGTAAAATATAATAGCGGACTGGAATTCTTCTTCTTCTTCTTTTTCTTCTTCTTCTTTTTCTTTCTTCTTGCAGGTCACAGCCGATGCACAGATTTTTTATCAGTAAAACGATCGGCCGATTTGCCCATCATTGCCAGGATAATCGGCCGATCGTCAAAATCGGCTGCAAATTTTCCAACTTTATCAATAACAAAAAATGTGCCAAAAACCCGAAAAATGGCCGACCACTTAACCCACTAACGGTGAAAAAATTGGCCGATTTGTTTTTGGCCCGATTTTTGACCCATCTATAGCCTGCATTAGATTGTAAGCTCCTTGACATTTGTGAATGCCCAAAATATGGAGATCAATTTCCAGGGTTCTGTCAGGAATATCGATCAATCAATTAAGTTTTTGGCTACTGACTAGAAAGTGGAAAGGGAGTGAATCTTACCTGTGTCCTGTTCTTGTGACAAGTTTGAAACTTTCAATTTTCCTTCTGTTTATATTTCATTACAACTTTTTTTTATCTTCTCTAAGGCTACGTTCACACTAGCTTTGTCAGCAGGCGTCAGACAGGCGTTTGGGAAGCGTTTTTTTACACTTCTCAAACGCCTATGAAAATTCTGCACATGGCAGCACACAGTACTGTTCACACTGAAGCAATAGCATTGCGTCACGGCAAAACTGGCGCCTCATGTCAAATCAGGAGGAGTTGAAGCCTCCCATTCAAGTCTATGGTGCCGCTCCTCAAATGCCTGGCAGACGTTTGCGGTGTGGTTGCGAGGCATTTTCGGAGCGTCAATACCATTTAACTTCATTACAGGCATTTGTGGTGCAGTTTTAACGCTTGGTAAATACTTATCACATGCCTCAAAACCGCACATAGGGCATTTGGGGAGCATTTGAGGAGCGTTAAAAACGCTTCCCAAACACCTGTCAAATGCTATAGGGCCGTTTTGGCAAGAGTTAGAAATAAAGTCAAGTGTGAATGAGCTCTTAAACCCTCTCTCCTTATACAACTTGACCCCCTCCCCCACCCCCCCCCCCTGTCATCACCTGTTCCATCTACAAATCTATGGATCACTGACCTACTCTTTTTATTTAACTATTTATTTACTGATCAAGTTAATGTGTCTCATTTCCTATCACCTCCAGCTCAGATCTCACATTATTATGATTCCTGGTTGTATATCACCACTAGTCTGATTGAATTTACAATTCCTGGTCAGTCCCATCCAGTTCACACTACATCTGGTTCACACAATATGTGTTTCAGTTGCTTTTTTTGCATCCAAAACGCACAGAAAGAAGGTTATATGGTTGTCAATGTCATAGTTCACATCAGCGCTTGCAGTTCCAGTGCATTGCAGGTGCTGCCAAAAAAGTCAAACAGGCTGCATTGTTTATGCATAGCACTGTACTGGAATGCGGTAAAACGCCCTGGAATGCACTAAAACACACATGCCCCTAATTAAATTTAGGAAAAAGAGAGGGGAAAAAATTAACTGGAATGCATAAAAAAATGCACTGGAACACACCAAAAACGCATCCAAAATGCACTGGAACACACAAAAAACACATCCTAAATGCTCTGGAACATGCATCAAAAAGTGCATGCAAACACGCATCTGGAACACATTTAGACTGTGTTTCTATAGTGAAACTAGTGAACTTGGGACTTGTTCACACACATTTGTGGTGCAGAAACGCATGCAAGAGCATGTTTTTCCAGCACAGCAAAGAAATGCAATGCCCTCTGCAGATGTGCGCAGGTACCATGATGAAAACTTAATTGCACCTCCACATGCCTAGTAAACACAGATGCATTCACAGCCACCAAAACCCATGGCACCACACTACTGTGCGGTTAGGTGCAACACACTTTTAAAATAATATGCCTGCAGTATTTTTGCAGGTTCCAACACATTAGGCAGCCCATTGAAATTAATGAGCTGAGGAAAAAAAAAAGTAAAAAATGCCCCATTCACACAGGTCCTCTGGCCTGTACAGCATGAATAAGTGGGTTGTTCATGTGGCTGGAGCTACCTGTTACACTATGGGGACACAGCAGCTGTATGAACACAGGTTTTAATCTGACAGGTGTGAAGGCGTGGGGAAGTGGCCCTGAATGCTCACTGTCTGTGTTCAGGGCTGTACACCTGCACCCATATGCTTGTCAAATTATGACCTGCAGCATTTCCATTGTGTAACATAGGTTGCCTGCAAATGGCCATAGCCACAAAAACAAACCACTGACTCTCTACAGGCCACAGCACCCATGAGCCCCAAGACCTCAATTACACCTCGGTTACACACACAGCTTTATTTATGAACTCAGTACAGTTTTATCATTTAGATTTCACAGGAATATGGTTGGGATTATGTCCATTAATAATGTTTTTAGTGTATTTGTACCATAAATATAATTTGGATATTTTCTCTAGCGGTGGGGGGCTGTCAGGTATGCTGTACAGGGCCCTGTGATATCTAACAGTGGCCCTGGGTGTATGCTTGTGTCTGTGCAGCTGTATAGTTAGGAAGAACCTTGAACCTCTGCTATGTACCTCAATGGATCTAGGAATTGGACATGTTTTCAACTGAAAATACAACAATTATTAGTAAAGTTTCCCCAGCAAATGAGGATCAGCTCCTTGGTGGAGAACAGCGATCTCGCCATGTCCAGATGTAGTCTGGAATTCCACAAAAGAACAATTCACAAAACTAAAAAATAAACTTGCAAATTACCACTAAACTCTCCTAACTACACTCCCCACTACCACTTCCGGGTGTGTGCAAACGTCCTTCCGCAAACGTAATGATGTATTTCCGGTATGACAGCTGCTCTAGCGCCTCCTCCAACAGCCGTTTTGGCGTTTATTTGTGCACCATAGCAATTTTACATGCGGCTCCATTGTGTATATATGACATTGGTGAATGTATGTTTGCAGCTCTACTGAGTATATGACATTGGCAAATATATATTTGCCAGTAAAGGCCCCAAGTCAATATAAATTGGGGGCCCCCCCAATTTATTACTGTTAAGAGGATTGTAGAAAAAGAGAATAGCTAGCTGCACATTGAACACAACCTTCATATATTCATTGGTACATAACATGGTCTTGTGGTGCAATAGGGGGCATTTGGTTTGTTAGTTTGGACATAATTGCATATGTGCACTCTAACAAGGAAGATTTGGGCATATTATATAGCTAGCAAAAATAAGTGTTAGGGGTGCTAGTACATTTATTTATTTCAGGTACTTACATAGCGCTGTCAATTTATGCAGCGCTTTACATATCTATGTTTTAAATTAACATCAGTGACTAATCCTCAAGGGGTGTACAATCTAAGGTCCCTAACTTACATTCATACATATACTAGGTCCAATTTTGACAGGATCCAATTAACCTACCAGCATGTCTTTAGAGTGTGGGAGGAAACCGGAGTACCCAAAGGAAACCCACACAGGCACAGGGAGAACATGCAAACTCCAGGCAGGGGGTACTATGGCTGGGATTTGAACCAATGACCCTATTACTGGCAGGCCGAAGTGCTAACCATTTATCCACTGTGCTACATTCAACTAGAACATGAAATAATACCCCCAAAAAATACATAGTCCAAATGTTTATTGATCAAATACACATTCCACATTTATTTGGACAGCAACAACAAGTAGATATATTCAATTTCTTGGTGTGAAAAAAAAAAAAAAACAACAGGATTGATGTTGCTAAAATACAACGGTCCTGCTCATAAGAGTTTACAATCTAAAAGATTATACTTCTAATGAACTGTGCTTTCACAGGTTACAGCAGGAAACAAACGGTTAATATGAATCACTTAGGCTTATCCACAAAACAAACTGCAGATCAAAATATCAATATAAAAATACATATGTGCCAAAATAAAAACACCTCCCCCTCCTCCCCAAATCCATACATTTTTCATCAGGTTTGTCTGAAAACTGCATTTCAGTCTAAATAAAGCAAACTTGGAACAGCAGAGCAATTGACATGTTAGGATTACAATGTAAAGATAATAAAAACACAATCATTGTACAAGAACACACAAACACAACTTAGAAGGAAGAACATGCAAAACATTTACAGCCCACATCAAAACACAGTGTGAGTGTGGCCTGGGGCAATTCAGCACAATATCTCTTTCTCTCCCAAACCACC